ACTATGGTCTATCTTAGCAACGTTTGTTTTGTTTACCTGTCACCTGACAGAAAGGTCACCCGTCAGCAACCTTATTTATCTGTAACGTCAATTGTCAGTTAGGTCACCTGTTAGTAAGGTCACCTGTTAGTAAGGTCACCTGTCAGCGGTCACCTATCAGTTGTCACCTGTCAGTAGTTTTTCTAAAACTATCCCCACCTGTCTGTAATTATACTCCTCATTATCATGAGAGAAGTTACCTGTCCGTGTCATCACATGTATCATGAGAGAAGTTACCTGTCCGTATCATCACGTGTATCATGAGAGAAGTTACCTGTCCGTATCATCACGTGTATCATGAGAGAAGTTACCTGTCCGTATCATCACGAGTCAATATCATGAGAGAAGTTACCTGTCCGTGTCATCACATGTATCATGAGAGAAGTTACCTGTCCGTATCATCACGTGTATCATGAGAGAAGTTACCTGTCCGTATCATCACGTGTATCATGAGAGAAGTTACCTGTCCGTATCATCACGTGTATCATGAGAGAAGTTACCTGTCCGTATCATCACGTGTATCATGAGAAGTTACCTGTCCGTATCATCACGTGTATCATGAGAGAAGTTACCTGTCCGTATCATCACGTGTATCATGAGAAGTTACCTGTCCGTATCATCACGTGCATCATGAGAGAAGTTACCTGTCCGTATCATCACGAGTCAATATCATGAGAGAAGTTACCTGTCCGTGTCATCACATGTATCATGAGAGAAGTTACCTGTCCGTATCATCACGTGTATCATGAGAGAAGTTACCTGTCCGTATCATCACGTGTATCATGAGAGAAGTTACCTGTCCGTATCATCACGTGTCAATATCATGAGAGAAGTTAACTGTCCGTATCATCACATGTCAGTAGCGTCAGGTGTAACAGTACTCATGTATACACCTATAACAGTGCCTGCTGCTACAGCTGTTGTTTAATTAGCCCACCCTCTCCAACCGTGGATTATGTTAATACTATTAATAATAGCGCTGCATATATTTACCATCTCGTTTTAGTAATTTTATATTTTAATGGCTTATAATTTATTATTAAAAGTACGGTATTGATTGTTTAAAAATAGTAGACTATTTTATTAACTGTATCGATAAAAGACATGTACTTAAATTAGCGTCATAGTACTTCTAGCACTTCAATCTTTAAGCATTTTGTTGGGTTTTTTTGTTGTTGTGATAGTCAGAAACTTCACAGCAAGGTTCCGTAACTCACACCTAAGTTCGGTTACTCACAGTAATCCATTACTCACAAATAAGTCATGTAAGAGGTTTGAATTGAGCAATGTTGTATAACTCTGCCTCGTTTTTCTTTTGTATTATTTTGACACATTTGTTTTTAACATGAGAATGCTTGGAAGTATATGATCAAGAAATAATTGACTGGTTTTTAAAACACTAAATAAGTTTTAATAAAGAAGAAGCAATTTATTTTTAATAAGGTTTTTTTTAAATAATTTAATTAAAAACAAAAGTAGCTGACGAACCAAATAATGCCGAGATTTTAGGGGAGTTCCTGGAAGTGTAAAATAATATAAGGTCTTTTGTAGGAAATATTATTTTATAACAGGTAAGATTACATTCTCGATTTCAATTTTTTTTTCTTTTAATCAACACATGCGAGATGCGACTATGCCACGTTGATGTAAAGTAACTGGGACATTGTAGTTGTCACGAAATTTTCTCCCAGTCGATGACCTAAAAATAACCTTTTGTTTCATTGTGTTCAAAGATCAAAGCTTTTAACTTCTTATTTAGCTCGTGATTTAAATTATCTTTTTTTCCATTGATGTGGGCCTACTATTTTAATTTAGCGACCGTAATGGATTATCTTGCCTTATTTAACTTTTTAATTTAGCTAGCTAAGTAAAGGTTTAAATCTGAGTAATTTAACAGAAAGCCAGCAAAACTTCATTTATGGCTTTAGTCAGTGCACTATTCTCGTACTCTCTGCACTGTGGGAGGTATTCGAGTACCCTATGTTCAGGATTCAGGTATTCGAGTACCCTATGTTCAGGATTCAGGTATTCGAGTACCCTATGTTCAGGATTCAGGTTCTCGAGTACCCTATGTTCAGGATTCAGGTATTCGAGTACACTATGTTCAGGTTTCAAGTATTCGAGTACCCTGTTCAGGATTCAGGTATTCGAGTACTCTATGTTCGAGTACCATATGTTCAGGATTCATGTATTCGAGTATTGTGTGTGCATAACTCAGAGCGTGACAAGAGTGATGACATCACCACCCCCCCTGATGACGTCACCACCCTTTGATTACTGCAACATGCACACGCTCATACAAGACGTGGTAACGAATTAGTGAACGGTGTATGACTACCTTGTTCTATAAATAGATGCGGGTGTTGTGAACATGTTTGGTTGATGATGATGTGCTTGTGAACATGTTTGGTTGATGATGATGTGCTTACCTCCCTGTTCACGTTATGTGAAGTGTTGTGATAGTCGGTAACAGTGGCGTTGACGGCAGTAGACGTACGTTGTCTAGCCGGAAAGTTTCTCCCATTTTTTGCCCATACATAGGCTACCCAGCATACACATTGTGTGTGTTGGTGTGTGTGTGTGTCTGTTTGTATGCTTGCCTGCTTTTCTGCCTGCCTACCTGCCTCTCTGTCTGTCTGTCTGCCTATCTGTCTGTCTGTTTGTCAGTTTCTATTTCTGTCTGTCTGTCCGTCTGTATGTCATGCTAATAGAGTATCAGATAGCGTGTTTTCGAATACCTAAACACAATCCGTAATTGAAGGTACGCTGTTAAGTATGAAAACGTATTAGGATTAGCGTCAGCTGGTAATCAGAGTTCACAATACGGACTAATCTCTCACTAGATTAGTTGTTTCCTCGCCAAGCAGGCCATCTGTAGCTTGGCCATCTTCACGCTGTAGTTTGGCCATCTTTACGCTGTAGTTTGGCCATAAGTTTAAGTTAGACGGGCCATTTCCTCACCTTAGATGCGCAGTGTTTGATGGGAAATATGACGGTTGTTTGTAAAAAGAAAAATCAAGTCGTCGTCGTCCCCCCCCCCCCTCCCCCGGAGAAAAAAGTCTGGAAGAAACGCTGGTCAGCCGCTGCTGTAGTACATCCTGACAGGATGTTTTTATCTCAAATGTTGACCTCTATCAAGTTATTGAAAACAGCTGTCTTTCATTGAGTGAGGAAAATCGATCTGCTAAAACTGAGCTATTTTTATTTCAAAAACCCCATGCTTGATACAGTACAAACCCCGTGCTTGATACAGTACAAACCCCGTGCTTGATACAGTACAAACCCCGTGCTTGATACAGTACAAACCCCATGCTTGATACAGTACAAACCCCGTGCTTGATACAATACAAACCCCATGCTTGATACAGTACAAACCCCGTGCTTGATACAGTACAAACCCCATGCTTGATACAGTACAAACTCCGTGCTGGATACAGTACAAACCCCATGCTTGATACAGTACAAACCCCGTGCTTGATACAATACAAACCCCATGCTTGATACAGTACAAACTCGGTTAATGACCCAATATTTGAACGACGCGAGTCACGTGTGCCAATAGCAACAGACGCCACCCAAATTTACCATGGAGACGGGATACTCTCGGTGCCGCTGGAATGTGTGCGAGTTGTTTGCTCGGGTTCTCCACCCCATCTCCCACTTCTACCCCACCCCACCGTGCTAATGATCAATAATATTTGTGAGTTTGTCCCTGCGATCAATTTATCGCAATGACTCAATGCTTACAATATAATGAATGCCCCCTCTCTGTTCATATGCCTATTGTCGTGATTTCCCACGGGACTCCTTGTACGAAGACAATGTCACTTGTGTTGGTGAGAAACGGCAATGCTTGATGGGTAGTTTTAATAAAGATGGATTGAGTGGATGTGCTAGTGACGGTAGATGTAGGGTAGAGTGGATATAACAATTAATATAACGAAGGATGAAATAGAGAATATGGATGAACATTTCTTAGATGTGTAATGTTAACGTCGGCTGTACGCTGTAGAATAACAGTATGCATCATCAACGCACGGGGACTGATGGAGATTTAATTTACAATACTACAGTTTCATTCTTACACATACTTTCATTCCCATCGACTTATGTAGGTCAATGTTTTCAAATAATACAAAATGTCTGATTTAATGCCCAAAGCCTGAAATTTAAAATAGTGTATTATTAAATTTCGGATTAGACCTAAAGTTTGGATATGAAAGAGAATTGAAAATGTGATTCATCATGTCATATTACAAGGATGATTTGTCTCTTCAGCTAAGTTTCCAAGATGTATTCTTTTTATTAAAAGAGGAAATTTAAAAAAAAAAAAAAAAAACGACGCTGATTATAGATCTTTCACCGTCAGCAACATGTATCCAATGGTTGGTCTAAAATAAAAAATAAAATTATTTTTAAAATTCTAGTCTTTTTTTTTCCAAAATAAAATAAATTTAAATTATTAATATACTTAAAAACAACACTGATTCACATATTTAAGTGACATATTTTATTTACTATTATAATAAAAGAATAATTGATGCATCATGACATTTGTGACACGTATGTTTGATTCTTTTGTTCAGTGTGGGAATTCATTGAAGTTGTCTCTCTTGATTTCATGTACACATGTAGGTTGTATATTAAAGACTAAATAATAAATTGTCCTATGTTCATCAGTGACATCCTGCTGGAAGGGTTGTTGGATTTGAGTAATGATATAAGGCCTGTGGTCAATAGCGTATCCGGGGGAAGGGGGGGGGGGAAGCTCATCTGTTAGTAAGACTAGGCATATATGCATATAGTGCCAGAAATTTACTGCTTGTTACAAATCTTGTGACATACATTTAACCAACTTCCTGGTGTAGCAAATTATTCGAGAAAAACCTAAAAGTTAATGTAAAAACATAGTCTTTCAATTTAAATTTAAAGAATCAATTCAAACATGTCTTGTGTTTCAGGACGTTACAGAGGGATCATCCCCGCGCTCAACTACCAGCTGTTGCCAGTCCCATTTTGTTAAAACTTTCCCACTGAGTGAAGCGACGTCATTTCCTGGCATCACAGCGCCACTAGTTAGAGCCTCATCGAAGAAGTAGCGGGCCACTGAACGAGCATACGGACTATCAGTTTATGTGGAGTTACAATCTCGAATGGCAAGTCCAACAGTTACGCCACCCGCTCTGGACCTAGATCCAGACTATGTTGTGCCAGATAAAAAAGATACTGTTTTAAGACAACTCAAGTTTTATTTGGCCCATTCTTCAGTGAATCTGTACAGATATTTATTTTTTTAAATTCTCCTAATTCCGAGTAAAATTTAGACCTACTCTATACCATTATCATTAATAATTGTTAAATTAATATTCACAAGAACGCCATTGAAACCACCGTAACAATGTTTCTTGTGCTGTAAATCGGCAAGCCTTCCAACGGCGTAACTACATTTTGTTACGCTCATGCCACCCCTCCCCCGACAAGTATAGGGAGGAAAAGCTGATATTGATCCACCCCCCCCCCCCCATATTCCCCACCCGTCGTCACTAAATATCACCCCCACCCTCTGACATCGGGTGTGTGACGTATTTTGAGGACGACTCGGGTTACCTACACAACATAACCAGTTATCCAGCTAAGACTGAGAGTGGCTTCCCCTGTTCCCTAAAAATTAAAAACAAAATGTAATTAAATGTTCACTTGTACTTGTATGTTTAATGTAATGAGGTTTAACAGTGGTGTTTTAAAGGATTGCGAAAGTTCTTTTTTACGGAACGAAAATTTACTTGTACTTGTGATAAAACGAACACATTCGGGTTCCGCCGAATTTACCAAGAAATATAGCATTCTCTCACTAATGTTTCGCTGGATTTGCTTCCCTTCGTTAACACCCCCACTACACTCCCTATCGAGAAGAGCTAATGATGTTTACTGAAGCAATTCTTGAAAAATGCATCACTGGATCAACCTGGTGTAATACAGACCATAATTCCACCAAACATGGATTTAGAGCAAGCTCCCCACAAATGTCAGAAAATGCTACAATAAAAGGACAATAACGGAATCTCCTTTAAAAGGGTGGGTGGGTGCTATGTTACTGTGTGTAATTTATTAAAAACTAATACTTCTTGCAAAATGTCAATGCAATGCTATCCCTGCCCCAAAGGGGTCGTTCTTAAATGACGTCACACTCCTAGGGGGTCATCCATAAATGACGTCACGCTTTTTTTGACGATTTTTACCTCCCCCCCTCCCCTTCGTCACAGTTCGTCACAAAAAGCCAGACCCCCCCCCCCCCTAAAATGACGTCACACCTCAACCTACAACCCCCCTCAAAATTGCAGTTGAAATTTTTTTAAACATTGATATTTTTCCAAAATCTTGTCTAAACTATTACAATTTATTAAAACAGTTATCTAAAACGCGAAATAACGTCTAAAATTCGTTTTCTAACATTGCTTTTTTATAATGCAAAAATGTGACGTCGCAACATCTGACCCCCCCCCCCCCCCATCACACATCGTCACAAAATTACGGACCCCCCCCCCCTCCCCCTACGAGTGTGACGTCATTTATGGATGACCCCTAGGGAGAGGTGGTTTGTAATTTTGTGACGATGTGTGAAGAAGGGGTGGGGTGTCCAGATAGAGTGACGTCACATTTTTTGTATTTTAAAAAAGTAATGTTAGAAACTGAACTAAGTACTTTAACTGTTACTGCGATTTCGCGTTTTGGAAAACTTTTTGTAAATTGTAATTGCATTTAATATACTCAATGCTGAATCTAATATTTAAAATAAAACTGTAGGTGACGTCATTATGTAGGGAGGGTGTCCAACTTTCTCTGATGATGTAAGGGTAAAAATCGTCATAAAGCGTGACATCATTTGATGACACCCTAACCCAAATCCTGACATTACAAATTGATTAACCATTATGATTAACACCTATTTTTGTATGACACCACAGGAGAAATATTTACTTTTTTAGTTGGTATGTATACAATAAAAATATTCTTGTTTAAATGTTGACTTTGTTAGGCACCTGTTAAATTAGTTAATGTTTTTGTTATTTATTACTAATGCTAATAAACAAGTGACCCTTCATTCATCACTTACTTTTTAAGTGGGCTGTATCATTTTTTAAACCTTAGCTCATAGTATAATACTATCACTGCAGTTTTACCTAAGAGTTAATTATTGACCTTATAATTAGTCTTAGTGTAAAGCTAGGTGTTATGTAAGAATTACAATTTTCCATGCATTAACTGAAGGGAAACGATTAAGGTGAGTTGATATTTGGCTTTAAACAGGTTTACCAAAATGCTGTTCTCTCAAGATTCATGTAGAATCAGTGTACTGCTTTACAATTTGGCATACAGTTCTTCTATTTGGTGGTTCAGAACAGTCACACAACCTTCAGTATAGGCTAGCACAATTTGATGTCGGTCACTGGTACAGCCCATCAACCACCCACATCACTGATATTTGAATGTCCTGTTTTTACTTCTAGTAAACTCATCTGTATATGACATTAACATGACAATGTGATGTATGTAATGAAATCTATGACTGTTATCCTAATCAATTAAACCTGGTGATTTGTATGCACTACTTAGTTAAAGAGTTTTTTTTTTTACACAAATATGTTTGTCATTTCCAGGGAAGAATTGTTCCAAGATGGCTGTTCTATCTATTGCAATGCGCAGCACTGAGCCAAATATCTAAAAGTCATGTCCATGTGCTTGCACCTTCGGATATGCAAATATGCAAACGACAGATAATGGATCACAATTAACTAGTATTTGACATAAATGGTTTTAACCTTTCTGTCACATGATATTAAAAAGTCATGTGATTTCCATGTGTTAGGAGATGTCACCTACATGGTGTGGTCTGATCATGCAAGTAACAAAAAGTCTGAACCTACTGAAAGTACTTTTAATCATACAAAATATCAACAGATCATAGTTCTCATACAATTGTTTAGACTACACTCTTTATCCTAAAGACATTATTTGGTCTGTGACACTCATTCAAACAAGGAAACTCAGCAAAAAGGTGACATTAAGTTTTAAGATAAAAGTAAATAATTTGTTTTTGTAGGAACACCCATGATGCATTTTAAAAAAATAAAAAGCCTAAAAAAATAATTTACATAAATACAATATAAAAAGTGAAAAGAAGTATTTAAAAAAAACAGCTTATGCAAATACTAATTTTAAAAAGCCAATTCTAATTTGTATTAATTTTTCAAGCCCTATAAAAATACCAACTTAGCCAAAAAAATAATTACAAATTTTTTTTAAATATAAAAAGTAACAACAGCTATATTACAACAGTTATAATTGACTTCAGTACCGGTAGCCATAGTTGGATGTATCATAGCCAAAATTTGTCTGACTCAAACTCCTGAAAATATTAAATGAATATTTGCTAGTGTGCAAAACACAAAAGTAGGCTATGTGGAGAGAGAAAATTAAATGTTTACATTATTTTTCTCCTCCCATCACATATAGTCCAACACTTTAAAACACCTTCACATACAAAGAAATTATTTTATAATTTTGATAATGCGTCTTTATTTGATTGATTAAAAACCATCATATAGACAAACCATAGTATTTTTAAGTGAGCAATTAAATTGTATAACCAACAACATGCACGTACCTGGAATTGTAACTGGTACCAAAACATGACCCAGCATCTTCTAAATGTCTGTCTGAGGTGTAATCTAATGGAAGTTGTTGTTGCTGTTGTTGCTGCTGCTGTTGCTGAAGCAAATAGTAATCAGCACTCTCTTCTCCCCAAGTGCGCTGTCTCTTACCACCATACCCATCATCAGAGTAGTCAGAACCAAAGCCAGCTTGAGTGGACCTCCTTTTGTTGTAACTCCTGTTGGAATCATCCACTAGAAAACAAAGCTTAGGATTATAAATCTTTGGCTGATATTTTTAAATGAATGATAATAAATTGATCCAGTACAAAACAAAGTTTGAGAAAAATCTCTTGATAACAAACCTAGGTAAATTAGTATCTATTTCATTTAAACTAAGTTTACCATTTGAAATCTACTTTGATAAACTTTTAATTAATAATGTCCACCAAGCTAGCAAAAGTTCCAGCATGTTCTAGACTTACATGAGGAACTCCCAGGGAGGACATCAGCAGCTAGTCCCAAGCTTCCTGCCCCTCTCTTGGCTTGTTCCACAGCCAACTGGGTCTGGTTTAGCATAGCTATTTGGTTTTTGATTGCCATACTCAGCTGATTCTGTAGCAGCATCATTTCTTTTGTTGCCTCAACATTCACACCCATGTCACCTTAAAGAATCAAATAAGAACCCAATCAATTTCTCAGTTATAAATTTCATATAATTATACACGATTATACTGGTCTAAGTTAGCTATGCCTGGCTAAAACTATTGATATCTACTAAATAGTTGTGCCACTAAACAAACCTGAGGGTCCAGCAGCTCCTGTATTACCAAAACTTCTGTCATTGTACCTTCTGTTTGGTCGATTGTTGCGACCAAAGTTGCCTCCACTAACTCCACCACCAAATCTCCCACCAGAATTGTTATTTCTAGAATTAAAGTTTCCTGCATTTCTGTTATAATTTCCCCCCGCGAAGTTTCCTCTATTTTGATTTGGTCTTCTGGGGCTCCTAACAGGTCCATCTCTAACAAAGCCCCCTCTCCTGTTGTCATTTCTGTTTGGTCTTCCACGATTAGGAGGTCCTGGACGTCGGATATCAGGTTTGTAAAATGGCATTTTAGGTCCCTGATAAAAAATAAAAAGGAAATAAAAATAGTGATTCAGAACTTTGCACTCAAGTATAGTAGATTAAAATATAAGTAGTATTTAGGAAATAAATTACATAAGTCGTAAATAGATTGTTGTTTTAAAGGTAATCAATACAAGAGCTTGCATTTTAAAAGTAGATATAAGACTGTAGAAATGTGAAGCTAGAATGAGCGACAACTGTCAGAAACCATGTTAGGAGACACAATTTAGGGCTTTTGTTTGTCAGTTTTTACACATCACTTTTGTTGGGAACTTTTGTGGAGACTTGTTGGCATTAATTTTTGTCAAAAACAAAACAAATAAACTTACTGAATCACCAGGAGGCCTAGTCCTCCTTCGAGGATTAAAATTGCCACGCCCGCGACCTCTTTGACCATCTCTTGGAACAAAAGGCTTAAAAAAAGAAAACTTTTTGTGTTTGTCCAATCAAGTTAAACATAAATAAATGTGGTGCAATTTCTTTTACTATCACTTGGATCAAGTCACTTGACTAAAAGGTGTCTACTATATGACATTGCCATTTTTCATGATTTTTAACCATCTGACATGGTCAGAACCCCTTTCCTCCACATCACACATACCACTCCCCTCCAAAGTGTTTTGTTTTTAATAGTTATTTCTAAAATATCAAGCAAACTGGGTCAGCATTGGTTGACTTCTAATTACAAAAGGTGTTTCAAAAATTTAAACAGCAAATATTTTTTTAAAGAGCAAAATTATGATGCCACACTTCCCATCTTCACACATTGTCAAGAAAGTCCTAACAACCTTTCACACTTGCATTATGACATCCTCACATGTTCCCAAATTCTTTCAAGTGGTGATCACATTTTATAAAAGACAAATGACCAGAGACCCTCATACAATAATTATTTTTTTGTTTGCTTTAGTCTACAAGTCAGCGACCCCAAGAAAACAATATGTGGTGCCCCTGGAGATCATGACAAATGCACTTGGAATCAGTTGTTGAAATAGTTGAAAAACTACAACTATTTAGGCTTACACATAAATTTAAATAACCTTTTGGTATAGCCTACATGTAATTCAAAAATTATACTTTTCATTTAAAAAAAAGAAGATTGTGTCAATATAAGAACCAGAGAAGATCAAATCAGTTAATGCACATTTAAAAAGACACCAAATAAATTTAGAATTCATGACTCACCTTTTTATTTTCACCTGGCTTGGTGGGAGTAATGCTAGGTTTTGTTTCTTGATTTCCAGTGGATACATTCTCTTCCTCATTGCCTGTTGTGTTATTCACTTCCTGGCCTGCGTTATTTTCACTTCCAGCTGATGTTTCATCTGCTGGCTTTGTCTGAGCCTCTGGCTCTGTAGTAATGGTAGGCTTCTTCTCATCGTCACTGTAGGATATTTTGTCACTTTCACTGTGCTCTCTTTTTTCTGGAGATGTACAGCTAACATTCTAACAAAACTATTGGTGTGTTAATTATTCTATGGTGATCAGTGAATACATTGGTACTAGTAAGTCTTGTGTCAGCTGACTAATAACTGTAATACAAACTTCACAAAATGTTACCTAAAAGAGATATGCAAAAATGTAAACTTTTTTTTTAAAGATGCTAAATCACACCTCAGAAGCTGTGACAAAAGAAGTTACTTATCAAACTCTTGTGAAATTATAACTCAGGATAAAATATTGAATCATTCAAAACAAATTAGTTTCATAACATGAGCTTTCATCATTCAAAGAGACGTGAAAGAAAAAAATTAGCTTACTCTCAAGGGGATGAAGCTCTAGCACATTTCCTCCTAATTCCACTTTGGCAAAAGCCTTTAAACAAGGAAAGACATAGCTCCTGTTCTCAAGGACCAAACGTGCAGTTCTGAAAAAGTGGTTGATCTACTTTAGTGGAGAGCACAATAATTACTGTCAGTAACCTCAAACAAACAGAAAATACTTCAATTTGAAATATCAAAACATTATTCAATGTGAAAAAAATTTGTATTACCTAAATTATCTTAGACAAAATGACTTTTTTTTATAAATGTGTAATCATTTGCATAGCTAACTAAAAATAAATAAATATTGAACACTTTTTCTCCCCAAATAAATGTATACAGAACTTGCCTTGTATGTATATATAAAGTCAAGTAGAGAATCAGAGCGCTATTTGATTTCACGGTTTATGATATTAAAGTTTCATTTTCACAAAGAGAATGTAAAAATCAAGTAGTCATTATAGAGTAATCATGTAGAATGAATCCCAAACTCACAACTTTTGTTACTGTAATGATAACCCATCACTGAATAAAATTATTATAAAACTAGTTCAAACAACTTTAAAGAAAATTTTAGCTTACATGACTTTCTTAATTTATGTAGTTTTTATTTTCATGAAATACCATCAAAGGTTTTCACAAGAAAAATCAACTGATTCATGTTTCTGTTGACTGCTGAATTTGACTTTAGATGAACTATTTTTTTTTACAAAGTCAGCAATACATCTTGAAACAGCCCAAACCAACTGCCATTAGGCATGTGCATGCCAGTTAAACACCGCTGCAGCAGGGGACAACAAGTTATTGCTCAATTACCTGCTCAACGAGTTCAAGTGTTTTGGCAGCTCTTCAGAGCTAGGCTTGGAAAGAGTGTAGGCTAAACTTACCCATCTTTAAATTTGTCTGGGTTGAAGTTCACTTCTGCTGCAAACGGGAACAAGACCCGGAGCATATCTTTTGTGGTGTTAGTAGGCAGGTTTTTCACAAAAACCGAACCTATTACTCTGCTTCTTAGTTTTTTACTGCCTGGATGGGGAAACAAATTCAAATCGCTTAAAGTTCAGTCTCAGGGCCTGACAAATACCTGGCAGCCATCCGAAATAATAAATTTTTGATGGTCAACAGCTAAACCGAGTTAGCAACTGCAATCTCAGGTTCACTATCTAAAAGAACCTAGTCGATACTGATACACTGATGGTTTATTTACCAGGCCCCAGACAACACACCATGGTGACATTACAACAACTGTCAACACTGTTCAGCCACCATTGAGGTGTCTTCCATACAACATTCAACACTGGACTGAAGCTAAAAGCTTTTGATTGAGACACAATGCCTTGTTACAGAATGCAGTTTTCACCCGAACTCCTTGTTCAATTAATCAAACAAGGTTGATTTCAACAAGCAAATTATAGATGATTAACATGTCTCTAGAAACATCTATACTGTAACATACATTTCCACCAAATTTGTTATGTATCTTTATTGCTAAGCAATGCAGAACAGCATTGTTCAGTTATATTTCAATATTAAAAAATTCCAAGAATAGGGTACCACAAATAAAATTACATGGTGCTGGAGTTTGATAAGACTACACACATTTCTTTAAACATTTCTTAAGTACTCGTCTAAAGCCATGCAATACAAAAATATTGAGATGTTCGGTGATGGTACAGTTCTAACATGTACTGATTCAGCTTTTGTGTTAGTATCACAGTGTGTATCATTTTCAAATCAACTACTCCAGTTTTCTATTTGGCGTAACTTAAAAAGGTTTATATAAGAAATTATTTGGAATGTAACCACACATGCAGTAACAGCACGCAGCTGGCTTTCTTAAATAAAATAGCTTTTACAAGTTTATCAAACAATGTAGGTGTATTCACGAACTCAAGCAGATGCCAGACGATTTTAGAAATGAATCAGATTTACATCAGTCAACAGCGGTTGATAATTGCTGATGAGAATCAATTTACCATGTGTATACAACATACACATATAGGTCTTATTTAACCCTATTAAATAGCGACGGTTGGAAAGTCATTGAAATATAACTTGTGATACCTTTCTTTGAAAACAAGGCTTGTTTTTTAAAATGGCTTTTTAAATATTATTTTATAAACAGGTTTGCAGTTAATTTTTTTGTGTGCGCAATATTAATGTTAATATACTTTTACTCGCAATATTAATGTTAATTACTTTTACCATAACGAATACTGGTAAGCCATAAGATGCGTTGTAAAAAATAAAAGCCAATACATTCAAATTATTTGATTTTTGCATTATAAAAGTTGAAATAAACCCCATTGTTGTTACCATTTAATTTAAAAACCTACCACTTTAACAGCTGTATTGTTAATTCCTTACAAAAAATGATGAATGATGCCTAAAGTTTAAAACTTAATTTTTGTAAACTTAAAGATATTTTATGCTTTGTTTAAAAATATCTGTATATGTATTTGAGAGAATTGATATCTGTTACATAATAAGAAAATTAAGAAGATAGTGATTAGCAAGATAAATGATAAACAGAATCGGTACATATATAGGCCAAGAGATGCAGACATTAACAGAATTATGCTGCATTTTTTTTCTGACTTTAATTGCCTGATCTATGCATGGAATTAATTGGAATAAACACACGGAGATATTCATTTGTTAAAGTACATTTTCTATATATGTGGGATACATTATTCTTAAAAAATGGTATTTTAAGGAAATAATGTAATTAATGTTTTAAGTTTAAGTGTCTCATGGAACAAACATAATATAGCTATTCACAGGACTAACTGAAATAGTTTTTATGGAAGTTTAGCTGATAGATATTACTGGTGACTATTTCTGCAACAGTGTCAAATAATTAAAGCTAAAAGTCTTTAATTTAACAGTAGAAAAAGAATAGAATAGAAAAGGAAATAATCTTTATAATACATACTTCTTCTTGGAAGAGATGGAGTACACAACATCCTAACCAGCTTTGTGTCGAATCTTAAAAAGGCTAAAATTAAAATAACAAAATATTAACAAGAATTTGTACATTTTAAGCATTAAATATTAAATAGCAAGATTTAGGATATTCAAATTTCCATTTCTCTTTGATGTCCTTGGGTACAACCAGCCCCGAGGATACCTGACTAAAATCAAGCAAAGTAAAGGCAGTTGGGCATGACAACCAATTCCCTTTATATGATTAAATCAAAGAAACAGATGAGCTCTAATTTATCTGCACTATGGACAAGCAGATATTAAAGAGGCTTTTGTATTTTATTTACACATCAAATCTTATTAAGAGCAGCAAGTTATAAACAAGAATTTTCAAAATTACATCCAAAGTCTATACCTTGTAAATGGAAGGTGATACACTACAGGAGTTTATGATATTCAAATAATACTACATGGATGTAGAAAGAAGTGGGTTTTTTTATATAACTACCACACAAATAAACTCTTAGTGTAAATGTAAAAGAAATGCTTGTCTCTGCATCTCCTCTGACATCCACCTTTAAAAAATTTAACTAGCATCCCCAACTTGTTTTTTTTTTTTAAAATACCTTTTTGTTCAGTAGTCCCATCATTATTCTTTTTGATGATTTCAATATTAACTTCAGGAAAAAGGAAATCAAGTTTCATGAGGTTGTGAACAACCTTGATAGCTTGTCTTGCAGTTGATACATACATCTCTCCTTTTCTATTTATCAGAGTACAGCATTTCAAAATTACAAATAAAGTCACATTTTTAAATAGCAACAAGACAAAGACAATATAAAAAGATTATCTTAAGAAATTATGGATTTTTTGTAATAGTGCTGATGCATTAATTTTTTTTTACATTTAAAAAGTAACTTCAAGCTTAGAATTTTAATTTATTGAATAGTCTTTACGCATGTGTATTATAGGCTGAAATAAAAGTCATGTTCAATGTCTGTTGACACTTACCCTCTAGCATTTTTACCTTGACAGACAATGTATAGCAAGCTTTCTCTGGCATTTTTGAACACTTTTGATATTTGACCACTGACAAAATCTCCAGCCTTAAGTGGGTACACTTTTATCTGCCAGTTACGAGCTGAAAGTTTAAAAAATTCTGCTCTTAATTTGAACTTTATTTTACAAAATTTATGATAAACTGACACCATTTAAAAATTAAGTTACACTTCATGGACAATAGAAGAACTTACTGCCTAGAAGTGCCACATTAACTTGCGGCATTACATTAGGATCAACATTTTGATCCTTGTTCAAATCATCATCTTCTTCCTCCTCTTCATCATCATCTTCTTTTTCCATTTTCAGCTCCTCTGCATCACTGATATGGTCATCTCCAGCTTCACATGCAATAGCTATCTCAGCATCAGCTAAGGCATCTTCTATATTGGTTTCATTAGCATCATTCTCCTGCACAGGTTCATTAGCATTTTCAGAGTCACCTAATAACTCATCTGTATTGTTTTGAGTTTCAAGAGTCACATCAGAATCTGCCATCTTGTATAGTGCTGAAAATAAAAGATATAGGCCTAAACATTTTACTTCATGTTTTTATATTCACCATAAAATAACTTGTAATTTAGAATGAGGAAAATGCTATGTTTTACATCCAGGAAATGGTGTACTAAATACTAAAACATCTGATTAAAGCAAATCTAGATAGCATTCTTGGGCTTGGCCTATTTATTTTAATTTAAACTTTTACTAATTTTTATTTAGCAATTTACTTAGCCACTTCTGACTTCGGCTAAGTTAAAGTAGTAGTATTACTCGCTAACTTGGAGGCGTGGTCGGTTGCTAACAACAATATGGCGTCCGGACCGGACGCATGACTTCCGGCGATTTTTTGGCCAAATTCCAGAGACCTTCTACTAATTAAATTTAAAAATGTTTACCACGCGCAAAATGGCGGGATTTCCGTGTCATAACAACAAACAATAGGTGGCAGGGTTAGATATGCCAGAAAAGCATTTTAAAATTTGGTTTGGAGAACGGAGGCTAAATTCAAAAGTTGGTTTCATTAAAATTAATAGAATTTGAAAAATATCAACTATGTAGGTACAAAAATGATCATATAAGTAAAGCATTATTAAGTCTATCAGTCTATGTAAAAAGAAAGCAAATATTGTCGGCACTTTTTTTATAAGATCGGCTCTCATATCACAACCAATTTATTTTTATTTTTTAAAAACCACGTGACCGCTATTTGAGATCACTAGTGAGGAACTCTGGGTGCATGGCCACTTAAAAAGTCTAACCTGATTTGTGGTTTTCTTTAGCATCAAGGGTTAGAAGAGTTGTCATGGAGAGATGTGTTGGCCATGGCAGTGAGTGTCAATAAATATTAAATTAAGTAATTTTGTTTAAAATGAACTAAAAACTTCAAAATTAGTGCCTAATGGATTAAATATGGATGTCTATTATTCAGTGGTCATGTTTATATTGAAAATTGCGTAAATTTTAGATTTAGTAAGAAAAACTATAAAGTAGGTAGGCCCTAAATTTGAATAACTGAGATTGAGAAGTAGATCTAGTGTTGATGTCTCTATAAAGAAAATACAGACCAATTAAGTGATATCACTATAATTTAAATCGTTAAAAGTAATTCAATACATAGATCTAGATTTCTAGATAGTTTAGACTGCCGATTTTACAATTTTTAGATCTAGAAAATGGAAGTTCAACTTATCGACAATAGGTTATCAAATTAGTCATTCAGCTATTATACTATACCGTTAATAGTCCCAATAAATTCTTTATCTCGTGAGCTTCAACAGAAATTTGAGCCTAAATAAGTCTTAATGCATACAATATTGTAATAGATACACTTAATCCATTAAATACAACCTAAATGAGGTAAAATCTTAGTTTAGCGTCGTAAATTCCAACGTAGCTAGTAATGTGCGATGAAGGTAACTAATGAATATTTCTTTCATTTGGCCATATTTATGTCATATTTTACATAACATAACAGATAATTGAATAACAAATCACAATCCAAGACCAAACCAGTCATAAATAGTCTTAAATACCCTGGAATAAACTTTAAACTACCCCGTTCGAGATAACAATGAGTAAATACAAGCAGCGGCCATGTTTTAAAAACAATACATTGTCTATTCGCATGTCTTTTGTGTTGATTTTGTGGTTTAATATGATTGTTTTGTATTGTTTTAATATATGCCGGGGGTCGTCCATAAATGACGTCACACTCGTAGGGGGGAGGGGGGTCCGTAAATTTGTGACGTTGTGTGATGAGGGGGAGGGGTTCAGATGGTGCGACGCTTCACACTTTTGCATTTTAAAAAAGCAATGTTACAAAACGAATTTTAGACGTTATTTTGCGTTTTAAAAAACTGTTTTAATACATTGTAATAACAATTGATTAAAATACTCTATTTTGACAGAGTTCAGACAAGATTTTGGAAAAATATAGCTGTTTAAAAAAAATTCAACTGCAATTTTGAGGGGGGGGGGGGTTGTAGGCTGAGGTGTGACGTCATTTTAGGGGGGGGGGGGGTCTGGCTTTTTGTGACGACGTGTGACGGAGGGGAGGGGGGGGGGTAAAAATCGTCAAAAAAAGCGTGACATCATTTATGGATGACCCCCTGTATAGTAATTTTTCTTTTTTTTTAAATATAGTTGACATGAATGACTAATAGACCTTATCAGACTTAATAGTGTGCATCCAAGACCACAACAATTGTTGGGAGGTCGAACTTTTGAACACTTTATTTGCAGTAAGCAAATCAATATTAGATCGCTCATAAATGACGTCGCTCTTAAGATAGTAATGACAGCGTGCATTATTACAGAGCAAACATATGAACATATTGTTTCAGATAGAAATTGTGATTTGTGGTGGGGAGAGGTTGAGTAGAACTCAGCGATGTGATTTTGGAGACGGGTCAGGTTTTTTTTCTCGTGAAAACGGGATGGTTGTGGGAGAAAGACCAGCTGTAGAAGTATGACGCGTCATTCATTGGTGATCCATTTTCTCAGTGGGGACGATAGAACTATTAAGAAGGGTCAAGAAATGTAAAAAGCTTGCCGAGTCGCATTTCTTGAACCCTACCTTTTTCATTCCCCCACTTAGCACATCGTCACCGAGTTAACGCTCGCGCGTGACGTCATGCAGCGGTACCGCCGACCGTTAAGCTAATTTTATAGAAAAAAAAACAAGCACTGCCTTTTTGACGCTTTTGCGACGTTTAGTTTGATTACATAAGTTGGTGTTCATTAAACAGCCCCTAACACATCTATGACTCGTCCATTTAAACGTACGTAGTTATTTCTGCAAGCTTGCTGTCTTGATACTTTCGGCCCTTTAAAAATGCATTAAGCTCACACCGTATAGAACTAGACTACCCATATTAAGCTCCAAAAGAAGCTTGGTGAAAACAGGATGGCCGTCCGATTTTGTAGCTGCTCTGCGCTTTATAAAAACCACAATAAACGATAAGATGACACTTATATTAAAGTAAATTATAGTTCTGAATCTTGATACATTAAAAGTGATATTCGGAAATTAAGAGCCAGACAGTCAACATGATATTTCAATTTAAGTTTAAGTCCAAGAAAATAAATTTCCTCAAACGATGGAACATTACTAAATTTTCGCGCAGTTTAGCGAAATTGAATTTAAGTATTTACGTCATCTTACAAAGCGCGATAGCCTACTGGTGCTCTAACGCAGCCCATGCTAATGGCCGTATTCCTAACGCCCCGCATTAGACGCGGCTTATTCGTCGGCAGGCATTTGTTGGCAAGCCTTTTTGACGGGGATAATGTGTTAAGTTAAGGCCGTTTTGCCAAATGTCTTAAACTAGCAGGCTTGCAACATTTGTGATGATTCGTTTTAAGCAAGGTATACGTATACTAATGCTTATTTATCGTTATTTTGATTGAACAAAGCATTATAGAGGTTCTCCATCAATCACCTAGGTATTTTTCCCCGTTCACCTCCTTTCATGAGACCAACACGTCATAAATTGCGGAGCCGCTTTAGTTGACGTCACAAATCTTCACGCACTCCCGTAGCAAATCATATGTGACATCATTTATGGACAACCCCATATCACTCACTTGGGTACTTGATATTGACATTTTGACAACAAAGGATAACCAAAATGTGTCTGGCAGGTGGAGACTTGCGATCGACCATAATGACAACACGCTCTTTAGGGGTGGAGTGGCTGATTATTTTAGATGATGTTTTACGAGGGAAGCTGGTGGATAATACATTTTGTCTCTCTGTATATATAAATGATGACAAACATTTATTGTTGTCAAAATTATGGCTAGAGATCTTAGATAAGGCAGAGCGAAGCGTAATTTTTTACATTAGGGGTCATCCTTAAATGACGTCACGCTTTTTTGACTATTTTTACCTCCCCCCCCCCTTCCCTCCGTCACACGTCGTCACAAAAAGCCAGACCCCCCCCCCCTAAAATGACGTCACACCTCAACCTACAACCCCCCTCAAAATTGCAGTTGAATTTTTTTTAAACATCGATATTTTTCCAAAATCTTGTCTAAACTATTACATTATACAATTTATTAAAACAGTTATTTAAAACGCGAAATAACGTCTAAAATTCGTTTTCTAACATTGCTTTTTTATAATGCAAAAATGTGACGTCGCAACATCTGAGCCCCCCCCCCCCTCCCCCTCATCTCACATCGTCACAAAATTACGGACCCCCCCCCTACCCCCTACGAGTGTGACGTCATTTATGGATGACCCCTTATGACTTGTTGTGACATTGACAACAAAAATATGACGGAGGTTGGGGTTTAATTAAGGTAAAGAGAAGTAAAAAAATGTCATAAGTTACGATAGAATCACTAATTGATGAAAAGAAAAACCTGAAATGAAAATAGTGAACATTCAAACAATAAGAAAAATCTCAAACTATATAGATTCTAGTAATAGTAAGATCAAATAAACATTAGTAAAAAAAAACGTGATTTAAAACATGGATACAAGTTGCATCTCACAAAGCTTCTAGAATTAATAAAGTTGTTTGTTAGGAAATTCAATTTTTAAAGAGCAGAATTTTTAAAAAAATGCTTTGTAATACGTACTATACAACAAGACAATCATATTAAATACATTTTCATACGAATAGCAATGAAAGGGAAGCTACTCTAAATAACATTTTCTTAAGATGGCTGCTGTTTTTAATAGCAAATTTACTATCTCGAACAGGGTTGATAAAAATTAATTTCAGGATATTTAAATTGATTTAACCATAAATGGTGATCTATTATTCAATTATTTATAATAATTTATCAAAATATACGAAAATATACTCATATTTAATGACATATTCATTAATGCACTCTCTCCTACATTACTAGATTTGGCCGAATTTACGACGCTAAACTAAGATTTTACCCTAAATGATATGCCGTATAAACTTAATATGATTTAAATTTAGAAATCTAGATCAGATTAGTTAACTTACTCAGGATACGAGTCTGTTTTAGTTTCAAAATGTCGCAGATAATAAGCTAATGGTACATTAAGCGTGAAAATAGTAGATCTAGATCTAGATTTAGTTGACTATTTTGTAATTTAGCCAGCTTTTTTATATTATTAGGCCTAATTTAATTTATTAGAAAACATTTAACAATATGAGTAGATTAAAAATAGACTTGATTTTTTAAATATTATAAATGTTAAAATATCCTATCATTACTAACAATATTATTTTTATTAGCCTAGGTCCAGAACAAAAGAGGAAAGATATTTGTACGCCGAATGATAAATTATAAAATTACTAGATTCTAGTAGATCTATAAAAAATTAAACTATGTCGGGTTATTGACTAAGATTTGTTTTAAAATGGAGAGAGATCTAGGGTTAGTACAAACTATAGACATAGATCTAGTGTCCTACTCCTATACTAATGCTCAAAACGAGTTGACATTGCCCCAAATACTTCAAATAGTAAATAGCAACTACAGGACTAACATTAATAACATGGCGCTTAATATGTATGACTATACACACAATATTTTTTTTTTGATAGGTAAATTTTAGTTTTCGGGCACGGTCTTTAGTGACGAGTGGGGTTGAGTGTTAGAAAGTGTGACACCACACGTTTTAAAAAGTAATTTAAAATTTGAACTTTAGCCGTTGTTTTTTTCCGAAGGTTTTAAAAGACTTTTTTTTTAATAACTATGTTTCGCTGGACTCAAGTCAGTATTAAGCAGCGGCGTTACTACGTAGGGTGACACCTGGTGCGGTAAACCCAAGGTGCTACCCCTCCGCCCCCCCCCCCGAACGAAATCTAATTTATATAGAAAATATATACTTATAACAGTGGCCGCCCCCACCCCGGAAATTTTAGTCCGCCCCTCCCCCCCCCCCCGGGAGAAACAATTCTGGAAGAAACATTGTAGATGGTGTAGGCTACTATAGCACAATTTGTTGTCACACTCTCCCAAATAATACTAGCAACTTCAATAAGTTGATAGACTTATCTCGAAAAGCAAAGCTTCTAATTGAAATAAGCTATATTTCGGTTTCCTGTTATACTATATTGAGTGGTAGTCTTAGTTGTAACGTCATTTAAGGTGGGAAGGAGGGGTCTGGGTTTGTTTTTGTTTTTTGACGATGGGGGGGGGGGGGGTAGAGCTAAAATTGTTCTAAAAAGCGTGACGTTGTTTATGGATGACCTGTTACATAGTTGTGCAGCTTCCAGTCTCAAGCTAGGCGCACACCTGTCGAATTATCAATTTCAAACCAACCCTCCACCCTGTAGGTAGGCCTGTATATTTTGTTGGGACGAACTCTCCATTTGGCAGCTCTGTAAATTGGTCGATAACTACACCCTATTCTCGTGCCCATGTGAAGCGAATAAGGGGTCTGATGCAGAATAAAAGAAATCAGGATGAATAGAGAGCTAAATGTACTTTTATGTCCACGTTTTCATCTCTAATATTGACTGTTGAAATGCAGTTCCATTGTCTTGGTTTCCATTCGTTACTAGATAGAGAATCGCTGTTTTGGTAGTTGAAATGTTTGTCAATAACACTAATAGCGATGATGCACCATAATATTTAAATAGCAGGCATATTTAATCTTAAGTTTAATCACAAACAGATCTTCAAGAATTTCATTCAGGTCTGTTCAGTTGTTTCATAATTAAATTAGGATTGAACTTTCTAGAAAAAAAAATTAATAAAAAATTCACAGTGCAAAGCCATGTTACATTGTACGGTGATAAGTTAATTCTTGTATTGGTGTTTGATATTGTATCGGAGCAAATGCTGAGAATTTTGTAGATCTTGATGTATGTTATTTTTCAGTTTGAACCCAATTGTGTCATTTTTAGATAATTGAAGAAAGAGTGACGACCAAAGCTAGTCAATACAGTCACCTTGATTGAGACTTAAGACAATACATTTTGTTTTGAATTTCTTTTGTTTATGAATTATAGTCTACAAAAGAAATATACTCTTGTTCGATTTTAAATGCAGTAAAATTGTAATTATTGTCTCCCTTGACACACTTTATATTTAGGGATGGGAAGTAACTATTAAATTGTAAGATTCACTGTACAAAATATTTGCATTACTGTATCAATATACAACTCATTCAGCCATCAACCAAGATGTAACGACTTTTGTGGGTCTAGTAAATAACAAAATATGTAATTAAATTATAAGGGAAATAATATAAAATTCCCTAAGTCTTTTATATTGGTGTAGTGAAATATGCAGCTCTTCGGGGGAGCGAACCTCCCCCCCCCCCTGAACGAAATGAAATTTATATAATTTATATAGAAAATAAATACTTTTAACAGTGTCCACCCCCCCCCCCCAAAGAACGTCTACCCCCCCCCCCCCCCGGAGAAAAAAGTCTGGAAGAAACACTGGTAAAAACCTACGTATGTAAAGATCGGTATCAACTTTAACAAATAATAGTTAATAGTCAATTTTAAATTAAACACATATAAAACAGCAGCCTCTCTTATAAACTTTAAAATTTTCTCTTTCATTTTTTCACGTTTTTATAAAACCTTATAAAAATTCACCACATCTTCTATTTTGTATTCGGTATTGTACAGGATGTACCACAGTTCGCTCCCTTGTGTTTGATTCTCTCCCTTCCCTCACTGCTAAACAAATAAACCTGCAAGCGAGCTGCATAAACGAATACCTCAACGATTAGTGTAATCACGAAACACCAAATAAGGGAAGTTACGTGTAAATTATAATTATAAAGTCGTTACATACTCCACTAGAACTGCTTATGGCTAGTTTAGTTACCATAGATCCAAAAAACGATACTGGGGGGGGGGGGGGGGGGTATATAGGGATGGGTCAGAACCCTCACCCATGGACCCCAGACTGACTGTTCAGTTACAGCTACGGTAGTTACAGCTACAGTATTTACAGCTGCAGTGGTTACAGCTGCAGTAGTTACAGCTACAGTAGTTACAGCTGCGAAATAGCTACAGTAGTTACAGATACAGTTTTACAGCTGCAGTAGTTACAGCTACAGTAGTTACAGCTACAGTAGTTACAGCTACAGTAGTTACAGCTACAGTAGTTACAGCTGCAGTAGTTACAGCTACAGTAGTTACAGCTGCGAAATAGCTACAGTAGTTACAGATACAGTTTTACAGCTGCAGTAGTTACAGCTACAGTAGTTACAGCTGCAGTACTTACAGCTGCAGTGGTTACAGCTGCAGTAGTTACAGCTACAGTAGTTACAGCTGCGAAATAGCTACAGTAGTTACAGCTACAGTAGTTACAGCCACAGTAGTTACAGCTGCAGTACTTACAGCTTCAGTAGTTACAGCTACAGTACTTACAGCTGCAGTAGTTACAGCCACAGTAGTTACAGCTACAGTAGTTACAGCTGCAGTACTTACAGCTGCAGTAGTTACAGCCACAGAAGTTACAGCTACAGTAGTTACAACCACAGAAGTTACAGCTACAGTAGTTACAGCCACAGTAGTTACAGCTACAGTAGTTACAGCTGCAGCAGTTACAGCTACAGTACTTACAGCTGCAGTAGTTACAGCCACAGTATTTACAGCTACAGTAGTTACAGCTGCAGCAGTTACAGCTACAGCAGTTACAGCTGCAGTAGTTACAGCTACAGTAGTTACAGCTACAGTAGTAACAGCTGAAGTAGTTACAGCTACAGTAGTTACAGATACAGTAGTTACAGCTACAGTAGTTACAGCTACAGAAGTTACAGCTACAGTAGTTACAGCTGAAGTAGTTACAGCTACAGTAGTTACAGCTACAGTAGTTACAGCTGCAGTACTTACAGCTACAGTAGTTACAGCTACAGTAGCAGTTACAGCTACAGTAGTTACAGCTACAGTAGTTACAGCCACAGTAGTTACAGCAACAGTAGTTACAGCTATACTGGCGAAGGTGCAAACGTGTTCTTTTCAAAGCTAACATTGCAAAAGTTTAAATGTCATAAAAACCACAATTTTAGATGGAGAAAAACTGTACATCTCCATGACAAAATCCTGTCTCTACGGCAGTGGCGTAGCGAGGTCGGGTGTCACCCGGTGCGGCACCCCCCAGAGGCGTAGCGACCCTTACCGGGGACAAACTTTCAAATTTTCAATTCGCAACCCCCCCCCCCCTCAAGTTTACGATCTGCACCCCCCCCCCTTCAAACTTTCGATTTGCACCCCCCCCCTGTTACTTTGCTATTTTTTGCCTTGGTGTCACCCCCCTGAATTGTGTCACCCGGTGCGCCCCCCCCCCCCTCGCTACGGCCCTGCTCTACGGTACTAGTAGAAATCATATAAGTCAAGTAAGTCATATAGTCAAAAGTTATTAAGGGCTGTTATTTTACCAGAAGAATAGGCCTACATTTTTATAAGTGTTATTGTAGTGTTCTCGAAACTCAAAAGAACTCCTTTGTGTCAGAAGAAAAAGCAATCAGGGGCGTAGCGAGGGGGGGGCGGGGGGTGCGGACCGCACCGGGTGACACCATTTAGGGGGGTGACACCAAGGCAAAAAATAGCAAAATATATAGAGAAAAACTCGAGGGGGGGGGGTGCAAAAAGAAAGTTTGAGGGGGGGGGGTGCAAATCGAAAACTTGAGGGGGGGGGGTGCAAATCGAAAATTTGAAAGTTTGTCCCTGGGAAGGGTCTCTATGCCTCGGGGGGGGGGGGGGGGGGGTGACACCATTAAGTGCCGCACCGGGTGACACCCGACCTCGCTACGCCACTGAAAGCAATATATGTTTTGTGCTCACGGCCATAAAAAGTTAAACTTAACGAAACATGAACGTCCCCGTACGAACGCATTTGTCAAAGAATTGATTGATTTCGAATCGATGGTGTAACGGTTTTTATTGTAAATGCGCGTGTTGGTGGTTAATAGAAGTCTGCTTGGGGTTTCTAGAACATTGGGCTGTGGAGGTACTGGGATGGGGCTGGGAGGATGAAGTATAAGAGGGGGTGTGAGGGAGGTGAGGACTGAAATGTTAAAGATTTGGTACATTTTAAAATAT